TAACAATGTTTCAAACTGCAAGCTCAGAGGCCGGCAGCAGCAGGCGGGGAACGTTGGCTCCTCCGTCACTGAAGCAAGCAAGCCTCCTGTTCACTTCTAGCTGCCTGGCTGCTGGCCGCCATCTTGGCTGGCAGTTAATTTGCATATCGCCCTGATTAGCCAGTGGGAAGGGTAGCGGAGATACAGTTAATTACCATGTTTCTCTTTTATTAGATATGATAAGAATATACATTTGTATTTTTCATTAGTTGAAGAGATTTTTCATATAGATTAAGATCATATTCATTTGTCTTTGAATTAGCAAAAACAATGAGTAGACAGTTTTTGATGCACAGTGGGTATTAATGATTTTGACAAATGAATAAACAATGTATATTCATTTGACAACTGAATAAACATTCTTTCCAATGTAAGAATCTCCCCAACAGTCCTTGAGAGAGACTCTCCCTGTCTCACTAAGCTTGCTAGCAGCTATTTTGCAATGTGTGCAGGCCAAGTTTCATTCATTGGTCTTATGTTGCTAATCCTTCACAGAGTTATGACTCAAATGAGTATTTTTCAAAATATTTCATAGTTTGTTTCAACTTGTATGAATGTGGTTTAGCTTCTACTGCTAGGTAGGCAGTGATTTGGCTTTAAAATTACCATCTTCCACAGTATTTACCTTTTGTTTGCATGCGGTAAACATAATCTAATATCATATTAGTGGTTTTTTTTAGATTAGTTAAGAAAATAGAATAAAAAATAGTTATGATCATTTAAAAAGGAAGCAATTTGGAAGACTTGTCTACAAAACCCTTAAACGTCACATCTATTTTCAAATTTATTCTCCTGCTTCATTCTATGTTACTAAAAACATTCACTTTGAAGCAGAACATGCAGAAGTTAAACGAATCACAAAACTGCAGGGTTGAAAGAATCGCATGTACATTTTCTATACAAATGAATTATAAGTAAACTATGCCTATTTCTAGAGTGCCTACTGTGGGCAAGGCCTTCTACCAGATGAATTAAAGGTACAGCAGTAAATAAGCAATAATAAAAATGCCTACAAGCTTATAGATTTAATTTCTACCACATGCCACACGGTATGTGCACAGTGACTATGATAAAGTGCAGGCAGTGGGGTAGGCTATAATAGCAGCACAAATATTGCTACAGAGATTTAGAGGAAAAAGACAACTTTATAGTAGAAGTAAAATCGGAGCTAAAACATGAAAAATGGGTTTTGGATTTGTACATATAAGAATGTTGAAAAGAGGAAAGAGACAAGCATATAAGTTTAAATATGGAAGAAGAATATAGTAGATGAAAATATTCCAGAAAATTTTTCACAAAAATATTAACAAATATATTTTAATACAAATTTTAATGAGTAATCATTCTTATGCTAAAGAATATATTGGCAAAAAATAGTTTAGTAATCTTCATATTCAAATTTATATGCTCTTTTTGTGTGTGTTTTTAAATATATTTTTATTAAATTCAGAGAGGAAGGGAGAGGGAGAGGAGACAGAAACATCAATGATGAGAGAGAATCATTGTTAGGCTGCCTCCTGCCCACCCCCTGCTGGGGATCGAACCTGCAACCTGGGCACGTGCCCTTGACAGGTATTGAACTCAGGACCCTTCAGTCTGCAGGCCGATGCTCTATCCACTGAGCCAAGCCAGCTAGGGCCAAATTTATATGCTCTTGAGTAAATTCTTCTTAAACCCACCCAGTCTCTTTTTCTCCCTGGCCCTCAGTCTCCAATTGCAGCAGCAGAGCACTAAGGAAGAACCAAATTAGTTTGCTAGAGGCACATAGTAAAAGGACTGTCTCTAGTTCAAATACAAGTTCACACCTTCCTCATTTTCCACTTCTGTGGCAGTAATCAGAACCATACTGATCTGCCTTCCTCCTTCCTCACTCTGCTAAAAATGTGATCTCACAACCAATTTTTTATATTCTCCTGCTGAAAATCCTTCATCTCATTTCCTACTAGGAAAAAACTTACAGTCTACCTTATATAATTAGCAAAGCTCTCTGTTTTCTACCTCCTCTCTTCCTCCAATTTTATCATCATGTACCAACATGTGCACACACACTTGCGCGTGCTACACACACACACACACACACACACACACACACACACACACATTCTTTCCAGCTATCTCTACCTCTAACTCCCAATAAGAATTTACCACTCCTTTCTTTATGCACAGCAGTGTAATATTTATTATGAGAGGGACACATTTCATTAGCTTGTGTGAACGTTCCTTTCTCTGTTTCTCCGAAGCAGAAGTGAAGCTTTGCCAGCTCAGACCCCACCTATTTGGTGACACAGAATAAAAAGACTGAGAATACAAGAAACACAGTAAACACTTCATGACTACCACAGTTTTCTTATTTTCTCTTAGCTTTGTCTTCCCGGCAAATTCAGTAATAAAAATAAAATATTACCATTTTGTAAACCCTAGTGAAATAATGGATCTAAGAAATATATTCCATTGTACTGCTGAAATCATTACATCAAAGAATATGGGAATCTTTATAATGGGTGGATAAGGCTGATAGTATTCAATCCCATTGTCAAATCTTACCACACATAGAGAAAGATTAGGCATCCGTGCCTCTTTGGTGAAGCAAGAGGCACTCAGAAGCTCACAGCACTGTATCTAACTACCAGTTTCCTGGAAAAACATGCACACGTGCTTGCGTGCGCTGCACA